CCTTTAATTCACAGAACATTTTAATTATGTATATCCTGAACTCCTTCTCTGTAATTTCTTCTGCTGTGCTGGCCATGGATTCTAATAACATAGTGTCTTGTTTAGGTAACTTTCTTTCTTTGCTTTTTTGTGTTGTTCATGTGTCTTCCCTTCTAGTACTGTGGATCTGAGTTGTTACAGTCTTTACCCTGTAGGCTGACAGTGTCCCTGCAGGGTTCCAATACCTCTCCTTTAAGGGGGAGAACAATATTAACAGATCCCAATACAAACAATATACAGTCTTAAACCAAATAGCTGCTATTAAGTTTATGCTTATGGTTTTGTCACAATACACAGAAATGTTGAGTTCAATTATTATCTATAATATAGACAGTAGGTTTGCAAGGGACTGTAGGTACCTTGATATTGCAAAAGGGTCTACAGTTTCTGGTGGTGGACAAAGAGAGAACCAGGGGTGAGGTGTAGGATGAGATGTTGAGGAGGTAAGAGGGGAGGATATAGAGTTATTAGACCTTAGGAAGCTTGAAGGAGGAATCTAAAGAAGTGGCTAGTAGCAGGAGAAAAGAGAGAAAGTGCTTTTGGGGAGACAAGTAAGTGAGAAGACAATGGAGAGAGTACAAAAAAAACCATAAAAATTAAGAAAAATTCAAAAATGTAAAAAATAGGAGATAAAAGAATATACGGCACAACTGTAATACACTATTCAGTCATCCCAGTCTTCAGTAGCCTAATTCATGAAAAGTACTTGACTTCACAAATGTGGGGGATGTGAGGGTAGGAGAAGAGAGAGAAAGAAAAGAAAAAAGGAGAGAAAAGAAAAGAAATCTTGAAGGAAGATACAAAGATTGTTTTTGTTGGAGTTCAGTATCTTTCCTCTTTCCCATCTCATCCAATAGGTGGGGTTGTCTGTTGTTTGCTGGTATCTCCACCCTCAGAATGTGAAGGTTATTAGGGTGGGAGGGTTGGTCTTAAGGGTGAAGCTTCTGGAGGTGTGGTATAGCACTTGCCGGTCCCCAATGGGAGACTGCACCCCAAGGATCTCCTTGAGGCCTCTGTCACTGGAGGTCTTGGCTGTGCTCTGGGGGCTGCACACCGGTGGTGGAGAGCTGTTTTGTATCAGGCAGTTCAGGGCCAGGCTTTGCGAGCCACAGACTGGCTGCGTAGCCACAAGCTCTGTGCTGGGTTAGTGGCTGTGCGGGAGATGGGGGGTTGGGGACTATAGGTACCTTGATATTGCTTCTGGGTCCCAGCAGGTGTCCCAAGCTGGGAGTTGCCCCAACTGAAGATGGGGACCAAGGTGTCCCAAGAGGGAGGCGGCTGCTTTCAGAGATGGGATGTCGGTCGGGTTGGGCTGGATGGTGACATTAGGCAGCATGTTTAGAGACGCAGCAGGCTACTGTGTGTAGGGAACTATGGCAATGGTTTCAGTGCCCCAAGATGGAGATGACCAGGGGACCCCCATGTTGGTAGATGGGGGTCCACACAGGAGTGGCAGCTGGAGGTCTGCATGCGTGCCGATGCCAGTGGTCCTGCTCGGGCACAGCGGCCAGTGACGCTGTGTGGGAAAGTGGCTGGGAGTCCTGTGCTGTCGCTGAGGCTTGGAGACCTGCGCTGAGCAGCAGCCAGGATCCCTGCCTGGGAGCAGCTGTCGGGGGTCCTCTAATAACTTGCAGAGAAACAGTATTCCCACTTCTAGAGTCCCAGGTCACAGAGCCACACAGAATGCAGCCTCCCTCTAGCCTGCCATCTTGGATCCCCCCAAACCACATTTATGTAGGGCATAAATTCTAAGGATATAAGAGAACACACACTTTCAATAATTACAAATCTCAGTCTCCTGGGGTTGGGGTGGGGAACACTTTCATTTGAACCATTTGTGGGAAGGACTAATTATGTCTAGTTACTTAAGTGTTTACATTCCTGCAAGATCATTTTGGAAATCATCACTAAAATAAGTAGGTTGAATAATTTGTTTGCATACTAATACGCCTTTTAAAAAACAGCACTCTAAAAAAGGCATGTGATCCGTTTTTTAATGTAGTACAAATTCAGAAAATAGTTTCTTTTTCAGGTCCAGAATAGTATTAATAGGGACAGATTTCATTTGTTATCCATGAATTTAATTATTGAATTTAGTCAATAAATAGAAAGAATACTTTGTTTTCCCCTATAGGCTACATCAGTTTCAATAAAATTAGACTTAGCTGTGCTCTCGCGATGCTTTATAGCCAACAGTTTGTTGGGTCCTTTGTAAGCAGCCTTTATTCAAAATTGTGTGGAGCCGCTTCTGTGCCGAGACAAATATTTAAAATAGTCAAACAATGAAACTTCAGAGCCTGAAGGCAAATATATATATATTCATATTTCCTCCTAAATGTAACCTTAATAAACACAGCTTAAGATTTAACCAAATTCTTTCATCTCCATTGCATCTCAATAAAGCCCCGTGGGTTCTGAATTTGTTCAAAGCCTGACAATATATGGTGAGGCAGGGTAGGGGGCTCCCATCTAAGATTAAACTTTTATTAAGTCTTATTCTCAGCAGACAGACCTGGGAGAGATTAGAAGACATCTGCGCATGGACTACAACCATGAAGTCATGGGGAAGCCGCTCTTGGTGTCTAGAATTCATTTTTTTATGTGACATTTCACACCTGGAGCACTCCTGACCTGATCCAGAAAGGCTTTTCATAGGACAGGCTTTAAGATTTGCAGAGCCGAGTTGAAGACCGCAGACCCGCACGGAGGATGCAGGCTCCTCCGTAAGCTGCGGCAGCAGATCCTGGAAGCCCTGTGTGCCTGCCTGTCTGTCCTTCTGTGTCTTCTCAGTGAAGTGCACATGTGGAGTCAGAGGAATGGGGGTTAGGGATGTAGCTCAGCGGTAGAGCACTTGTCTGGCTTCCGGAGGCTGAGGCAGGAGGATCCTGAGTTCAAAGTCAGCCTCAGCCACTTAGTGAGGCCCTGAGCAACTCAGCAAGACCTGGTCTCTAAATAAAGTATATATTAAAAAGGGGCGGGGCTGGGGATGGCTCAGAGGTTAAGTGCCCTGGGTTCAATCCCTGGAACCAAAAAAAAAAAAAAAAAAAAGAATAAGCCCTGGCTTCTATCCCCAGTACCACCAAGAAAGAAAGAAAGAAAAAATCCCTCAGGAGAGAGATTGAGCCCTGTAAGGTTATAATGGAGACCAGCAGCCCCTTGCCACTCCTTTTCCTGAGTCCTGTTTCCTCCAAAGGCTTCCGTGCCAACCCCTGCTAGTTTCTTTGTCAATCGCGTTGTCTCTGTCTCACACCCCGATGCTGGAGCCAAATAAATCACCCTCGCTGTTCAGAGGTTTTTATTTTGTTTTGCTCTTGTTGTTTGAATGACACCCCGTCCTCCTTGAGACATTAGGGCTTTCCATCGTCACCTGTCCCATCTTCCCCTGAAGCCCCTACTGCCACCCGTTTTAGCTTTGAAACAGAAAGTAATGTTTGATTTTTGAAATCCAACAGAGCTCCAGCGTAGAGGGTCCTGGTCACTCGGATCAATAGGCAATCACTTCTGTACGGAAAGTGGAGACCCACTTACACAACTTGCAACTGCATTAACTGTTTTCTGATGGTCTTTTCTTTTCTTCTTGTAAATGTGTTTCTTTAAAAATCAGGGCACCTGTGTGATAAAACAGGCTCTTTCTTGTCACTAGTACAACCTCGAATGCCTCTAGAGGATGCACTGGTGCTGGTGGCTAAAGAATTTAAGAGGCTTTTCACTGAAGAAGCTCTGGAATTTCTCAGAGGGCTGCTGACCTGGAAGATGACTGTGCCTTGGGCATTGGGTGTCTTCCCTTCCTGTTAAGTGACAAAAAGTGTTTGTCTAGGGACCAGTTGAACCTGATCACTGATTACCCTAAGGCCAGGAAGGAACACCAGGAAGGCATTTGTCCCTTTCCTTCTGCGTTTTAAATCCCAGGTAATCCTTTTTTTTGCAAATTTGTGTATAAAAGAAAACTACATATTTTTATTTAGTGAGAGTTTATGCATTTGTAATATGTTTGCAATCAAAAGTAACTGATTGGAACATTCTATACCATGTTAACATTCAACCTTTATAAACTGATGTGCTTCTTCTAAAGTTAGATTTTCTCTTTCTCCCTCCCCCCCTTCCTTCCTTTCTTTTTCTATACTGGGGATTGAACTCAGGGGAGTACTCTACCACTGACCTAAATCTCTAGTCCTTTTTATTTTTTATTTTGAGACAGGATTTCACTAAGTTGCAAAGGCTGGCCTTGAGTTTGTGATCCTCTTGCCTCAGCTTCCCAAGTTACTGGGATTACAGGTATGCACCACCACGCCTGGCTCTAAATTTTCTTTTGAACCAGTTTTTAATAAGTCAGTAGAATGACCTCTGTGTACAGACAGATGTGCAGGAAATCATTCCAGCGTGCTACTAGCTTACTGTCCTAGTTCTAGCTTATTGTTGTTTAATTGAAACATTTGTAAGATTGCTTTTTATTTTTATTTATTTTTTAAATATTTATTTTTTAGGTTTTTTTTTTTTTTTTTTAGGTGGACGCAATATCTTTATTTTATTTTTATGTGGTGCTGAGAATCGAACCCAGTGACTCATGCATGCTAGCCGAGCATGCTACCACTTGAGCCAAGATTGCTTTTCAAATGTGTGGTAAGGATGAAGAAGCAGTTCTTCATCTTGAAGATTTTAAAAGAGCATTCCAGGAACAAACCTAACTCCTAAAAGAAAGTACTTTTGAGATTGCTTGTTTTGAGAGAAGAAGGTGAGACTAAATGATAATCAACTGCTTGTTCCTTTAAGAAAAAAGGAGCAGACTGTGTACCCCACCTAAGATGGGTTGAAGCTTTCAAAGAAATCGTTCCTCTTACAAAACGTAGAACGTGTTTTATTTTTGTACACTTTTGCTCTTTTCCTGGGCGGGGCGGTAGGGGTGGAGGAACCCATAAACACAAGTCTTGTTCTTTTTGATTGTAGAACCCTCTGAGTCAGTAAAGGGAGAAGACCTTTCTGGAATAAGTAAAAGTGAAGCTCTTTCTTGAAGAGCCCGAGCAGCCTCTGTGCAGCTCTCTGGCCTCCACTGAGGCTTCTGCTGACCACCATTCTCTTCACTCCTCCTGGCGGTGAGACTCCAGAACCTTCTGCCGCAGCAATCCTGCCTCATTTCCAAGCAGGACCACCCCCTGTGGCCAAGCCGCCTCCACCTCTCCCGACCCCTGCTGAGCTGTCCTTCCTGGGTGGAGCTCCTTGAGGTCCCGTGAAGTCCCTGCAGTTAAGCACCCAGTGGGAAGAAAGTCGCCTTCCACCGTCAGGTCAGTTCTCCCCTCTGGGAGCCAGACAGCACAGCAGCCCCTGGGCTCCCACAAGGGCTCCTCTGAGCCAGCGCGACAGTTTGGAGCAACGGCAGTGTGTCTTGTCATTGGCTTTATTTTTTCAGTATTGAATCCAGGCCCCAGCACAGGCTAGGCAAGAGCCCTGCTCCTGAGCCCCACCACCAGCCCCTTGTCACAGTTTTAATGAATGTTCCAATCTCAGAAGACAGAAGTGACACTGTTTCAGCAGAGCCAGCCCCTGGCATGAGCAAGGATTTATTTATTTATTTATGGCACCAGGGATTGAGCCCAGGGGTGCTTAACCACTGAGCTACCTCCCCAGCCCTGTTTTGTATTTTATTTAGAGACGGGGTCTTATTGAGTTGCTTAGCCCCTCGCTGTTGCTGAGGCTGGCTTTGCACTCACAATCCTCCTGCCTCAGCCTCCCAAGCTGCTGGGGTTACAGGTATGTGCCAGGCCCTCCTGAGTTTTATACCTGGGTGACACTTATAGGAACCCTTCTACGCCAAGTCGCCGTCATGGTTAGAGACACTTAAACTCAGTTCAGACACTTAAACTCAGATTAGCACTTCCAGAATACAAAGGTTTTTGAGGCTTTTTTTTTTTTCCTGATGAGTGACATCTGCCTAAAATGAGGTTGAGTTATTGAGGACTTTTCTGTTGTAAGTGACAGGAGCTCAAATTGAGTTGTCTTAAAACAAAGAGATTTGATGGCTCACAAAAGTGGAGATTCTAAGAGTGGCTGACTTGAGGCCCACCTGGATCCGATTGCTCAGCTGGGTGTCCAGACATCCACACCTGCCCCCTGGGGGGTTCAGCCGTCAAGCCTGATTTCAGCCCTGAGCCTCACCTGACTGCTCTGTGTGCCCAGGTGCGAGTCTTTCCTGGACCTCATGTGGAGTTTGTGCTGCCCCCTGAAGGTGCCCAGCACCAGTTTCCTCCCCTGGGTCAACATTCATTCCTCTGAGCTCCAGTCTCCTAACACTTGTTGGCCTCTTACCCCTCAGACCCTCTCCTGCAGCCGGAGTGGGGAAGGCCCATGAGAGTCTGGTTGTCAACCTGCCATGTTTCAACAAGGAAGTTGCCAATGAAGTCTTGTGCAAAGGTAACCTCTCACCCAGGCTGTAAATAAAATTTAGGTTTGGGGATGTCTTTTTGTTGGCTGCTTTTCAGTGGTACTGGGGCTGGCACTGGGGGCCTGGTACATGCAAAGGCAAGTGTCACTGAGCCACACCCTAGGCCCCCTGGGGATACCTTTGTGCATAAGAGTCTAATATTGCTTTGACCTTTTATGTGAGCAGGGATTATTTTAGCCAAAAAAAAAAAATTTTTTTTTCCCTATGAGTGCATTTCTACCTTGACTATTATTGTAGATAGAAATACAGGGAACGAGGCCTCTTTTTTTGGAAGCTCCATGTGCGTGTCTTTTATCATCAGGGTCGGTCTGTAGGGAAGATCCATCTCCCTACAGTGAACGTTTCTAGGCCTCCCTCCCTTCTTGACTCTCAGGATGAGAAGAGCCTCGTTCCGGTTCCCTGTTCTCACAGCCTGGGCTTCCTCTCTGCCAGGTCTCTGGCCCCCCTTTTCTTTGCTGTGCTCAGCCTCTCCCCCAGGACCCCAAGGCCCAGCTCCTGACTCGGGTTGGGTTCCAGAGCTCCCTCAGCACGGGTGTGTCTGCTTCCTCAGACCCTCTGGGTTCGCCCACTGACCCAGTGTGGCTGCCTTGTTCTTGTAAGGAACATGTGAGTCGTGGGGAGGGCTCGGGAGGGAAGCTCTGTCCCCTGATTGGCTTCCCATTTGCCTCTGGTGTACAACAAACCTTCCCAGACCCTCCCAAAGGCTCGCTCCCTGCTTCAGGGCCTTCGCAGGGCTCTGAGGAAGCCCCCTACGCAGGGCTTGCAGGACAGCCTGCCTGTCCAAGAGGGGTGCTCCAGGTGCCAGACGTGTGGCAGACCACCGAGGGCAGTGGGTGGCTGGGTGGGTGGATGTCAGCTTCTCAGGGACGCAGCACTTCGGGATGTCATGAGTCAGCCTTTATGACCTGCTGGGAACCTCGCCGCTTTGGATGTTTAAGAACGTTTTCCAAGTGTCAAAATAGCTTCAAAATAGAACATTTAGAACAAAGCCCACTTATGAGAAGGGGAGGACAGAGGACCAGGACACTGGGACAGGCCACGACTAGACCAGGGCTTTGCCAACTTCTGTTAAAGGTTCAGATGGTAAATATCTTAGACTTTGTAGGCCAAGGAGCGAAATTCAGGATATTATGTACATACTTACATAACTGTTTAAGACATGACCATTTAAAAATAGGGGACCACTCTTAGCTGGACACCGTCTGACATCAGGCCTGATTTGGTCTCTGCTGTGCTGAGCCCTGGACTAGGCCACGGAGGAAGTATCCGGGTCCAAAGGAGACTCGGTGGAGCTTTTTGGAGCTCAGGCTGAGCCTGGCGAGCGGCAGGTCACTCCTCGCCTAGCCTCTCTCTAAAGGTGAAGAAGGACCACTCCGGGGAGGTCACCTGGAACTGGGTTCCTCCTGTGTCTTCATGCTTCTGTTCGGGGTCTGTTCTCTGCAGGACCGGCCAACCCCATTCTGTTCTCCCTCCCTGCTTCAAGAAGTCCCCTCCAAGAGGCCTGCTCCTTGGGAATGTCCACCGGCCATGCCTGCCTGATGTCCACTACACGGGGAGAAGCCAGGCCTTTAACCACCTCTGCCAGGTGAGACGCGGGTGAGCTGGGAGAGCTCCCTCCAGTGTGCTGATGGTAGGACTTTGAGTGAGGAAGGGAACCATCTGTGGCCGCGCCCAATACGGTAGCCATCAGCCACGTGTGGCTATGGAGCACTTGAATGAAGCTATGGTGGCTGAGGATCTGAATTTTTAATTTCACTTAATTTTAGTTGATTTGAATGACCAGGGTCACCTGTGCTGATGGTGGCCCATAATAGCCAGCACAGTTCTAGGCTATTAAAAGCCTCAGGAAGCTGTAGTGATGGGTACAAAGGCATGTGATGTTTTCTCCAAACAGAAATCTAGTCTTTCTCGGTCTTTTCCACCTTCTCACTTTTTTTTTAAGTTGCAAATGTACGTAAGAAGGAAATGTTATTCCTGTTTCATAAATGGATATCATTGCCAATTGCTATAAAATAGAAGGTAACACACACACACACACACACACACACACAAGTGTTACTAAATTCCTGCCAGGTACCATTGCCTGCCTCAGTCATGAGAGCATAAGTCTTACTCTCCCCTGGTCAAAAATGGGGGTGACTGTGGGGTGCCATGGCACCAGCCTGTAATCCCAGCCATTTGGGAGGCTGAGGCAGGAGGATGGAGGCCAGCCTGGGCAACTTAGCAAGACCCTGTCTCAGTGGTCTTTCAACCACTGAGTCACATCCCCAATCTGTTTTTTTATTTTTTATTTTGGGACAAGTTTTCAATAAGTTGCTTAAGGCCTCGCTAAATTGCTGAGGCTGACTTTGTACAAGTGATCCTCCTGCCTCAGCCTCCCAGCCCACTGGGATTACAGACGTGTGCCACTGCACCCCGCAGGAAAGGGGAGCCTTTGTTGCTCTCTGTTCTCTGTGCAAATGACATATTTTTCGTGATATTAAATTCTATTTTAAAGTTTTAATTTCTGTGTTTTATTCAAATGCGCTTCTGTGAGATATCGATTGCTGTGGTTATAGCATAAAAGGTACGTGTTTACAGAATGGTGACAAGGTGTGGAACACGAGTAGGTTAGTGTGACTCCCACCCTCTGGGGACCCAGACAATCCCTGTGATTTGGAAGGTCCTCATCTGTCAGACTAGAGTGATCTTCAGGGAAATTTGAAAAACTTCCCTTTCCCTAAAGATGGATCTCCATGGTTTCTGAGGGGTCTTTGAACCCCCAAATTCTAGGACTAATAATTGGGGGAAACTTTAAAAAAAGAGCAAGAAGCTACTATGATAAGACACACTACTGATTGATTATCTGGCACTCAGGGCAGCTTGGTGAGCTAGGAACAGCAATTACCTCCATTTCTAGAGGCCCAAGTCACAGAGGGGATCCACCTGTCCATGGTCACACAGAAGTACCTGGTGGGGCCAGGACCGTGCACCTGTGCTCTTAGCCACACACAATCCCCGTGGCACATAAATGTTATCCAGTTGATCTTGTTTTCAAGTAAAAGCTTAGATCTTTGCTTGGGTTTCTGTCATATCCTTCCATTCACTTTGACTAAAGGCCCAAGGCATCTTCATATCAGTCACCTGCTCGGATTCGTCACAGTTTAAGGGCTGCAGACATCAAGGGGGAGGGAGCCATCATTGTTATGGCTTAGATATGAGGGGTCCCCCCAAAGCCCATGTGAGACAATGCAAGTATTTTCAGAGGAGAAATGATTAGATTAGGGAAGATGTAACCTGATCAGTGGATTAATCCACTGATGTGGATTAACTGGATGGTAACTATAGGCAGGTAGGGTGGGACTGGAAAAGTAGATCACGGGGTGGGGTGTGACTTTGGGGTTTATATTTTGCCCTTTAATGGGGGCGATGGCCAGAGTCTCATTGGGGGGTTCTTCTTCCTTCCCAGGAGCGTGTAAGTGACCTGAAAACTTAAAGTTTCAAATAATTTGTGAAGAATAAAACACAAATAGTCAGAAACATGTTTACAAAAACGAAGGCCCTGATTGATCTCGTCCACATGGGAGCTGGAACCAGACAAGTCAAGATGGCTCTGATGGTTTATTTAAGGGGGTACATCAAAGGCAGGGTTAAGGTTTCAAGGGCTGATGTCTTGCAGTCAGCAGGTTGATTGGCATCTTGGCAGGTCACACCCATCTCAGGTGCTGGGAGGGATCTTTGGCAGAGCTTGAGGGGGAAGTTCAACTGCATACGGCAGTCAATCCCTGTGGGGGTGCCACGGGGAGTTCCCAGTGCCAGCCTTATCCCCTCCCTAGGCTACGATGCACAACACGTCCACTCACAACCCACGGACGGCTCATGACAGCTCTTGGTGAGCGCAGCTCTCTCTGCTTCCTGGTTGCCGTGTCCTGAGCTGCGTTCCTCCTCCATGCCCTTCCACCTTGGTACCTGGTGGGGCCAGGACCGTGCACCTGTGCTCTCACCTCTGTCACAGAGCATCGGAGTCACCGACCATGGGCTGAACCTCTGAAACCTTGAGCCAAAATAAACTTTTCCTCTTCTACATTGTTATTGTCGGGTCCTTTGGTCACAGCAACAAAAAAGCTGACCCAAACCATCAGAGTGAGCATGGGTCCAGGTGAAGCAGCAGAAGCTAATGCAAGAGCCGGCCTTGCAGGAAGTCCAGCGTTCAGGAACCAGGAGGGTAGAGGCACCACGATCCGCTCTTAGGGAGAGACCTGCAGGAAAAGCGTTTGTGACCCATTGAGATAGGGCTGGGATACATGTCCCGGGTTCCTCCTCGGCAAAATGAGTTCTGGCACCAGGATTAAATGAGATAATGTGATGAAAATATTTTAGACTCTCCGAGAATTACAGATAGCTGTGGGCTGGTGCTGGAAATGGGTTAAAGATCCCACATGCAAAGACTGGTGTGGCTGGCAACCTGGACCAAACTGGCTGCTGGTTCAGGAAATACCACCCCTGTGTTTTTCCTCCTCTTTACTGTTCTTTGGCAGTCTGACTGCACAGGGGGCAGTTCAACCTGTGTCTTTGCTGGACTAAGAGAAGTGACGCAGAGCCTGGAGAACAACAAGCTGCCACCCAGATGGTGGCTTTGACCAAGTCCTCTCCCTGGCCTGCAGCACTGATTGATCCCTGGGTACAATATGGCTTCCCTCTGGAGACTTTTTTACCTTTGCGATCTTTGTGCCAAACTGGCTATTTGTGGGAGGTCACTGCTGTAGATACTGGACCTTAAAGTTATTCGATATCTAGAGTATTAAAACATTTAAAAGTTCTAGCTTTTGCATATGGTTGTCCCTTATTAAAAATGTCTTTTTAGGAACTGGGATTGTGGCTCAGTGGCAGAGTGCTTGCCTAGCATGTGGGAGGCACTGGGTTCCATTCTCAGCACCACATAAAAATGAATAAAGGTCCATCAACAACTAAAAAAAAAAAAATTTAAATTTCTTTTTAGATTTAAAGAAAATTTTAGATTTATAGAAATCTAATGTAATTTTGGATTTATAGAAAATTTGCAAAGATAGTACCGGGAGTTTTCTTAATTCAGCTTTGCCTGATTGTTATCATTTTTTATTCCTTTTTTTCTCTTTGTAGTACTAGAAATTAAACCCAGGTCAGTTTACCACTGAGCTAACCTCAGCAAACCCCCCACCAACTTTTTTTTTTTTTTTTTTTGACATAGGGTCTTGCTAAGTTGTCCAGGCTGGCCTAGAACTTGAGATCCTCCTGTTTCATCCTCCTGAGTCACTGGGATTATTAGTGTATGCCACCCCACCTACCATGGGACTTTTGTTATATAACCATGGTACCTTTGTTAAAACTAGGAAATTGATGTTAGTTCAGTGATATTAACTATATTCCAGTTACATTCCACTGATTTCCCACCAATATCATTTTTCTATTCCATGATCCTATTCTGGGTACCATATTGTATGGAAGCTCCTTTTTTATTTTATTATATTCTCATCTTTTATTAGGAAACATTTTCAACATAAAGAAACTTGAACAAAGCAAGGACCCTGTCTCAAAATAAAATAAAAAGGGCTCAGTGGTAGAGCATCATGCTGGGTGCCCCAGAAAAAGAAAAAGAAAGAAAGAAAGAATGAGAGAAAGAAAGAAAGAAATTTGAACAGGTAGTACAATGAACATCCATATATCCTGTATCTAGATTCAACAATTAACATTCTGCTGGGTTTTTTAAAACTCATACATATAGCTATGTCAATACAGTTTTTCTCTACTGGAAGATAAGTTGCAGAGTTGGTAGCATCTCCTCCCCCCACCCCTCCTCCTCCTTTTCCTTTTTACCTTTTGGTACCACAGTTTGAACTCAGGGGCACTTAATCACTGAACCACATCCCCAGGCTTTTTAATTTTTTTATTTTAAGACAGGTCTTGCTAAGCTGCTTAGGGCCTCACTACATTGCTGAGGCTGGCCTTGAACTCACAATCCTCCTGCCTCAGCCCCCTGAGTTGCTGGGATTACAGGCATGCGCCACCACGTCCAGCTGCATCTCATCTTTAAGTACCTTAGAATACAGTGAAGAGTAAGAACATTCTCCTACATAATTGTGATGCCATTATCCCACTTAAAATTAATAATTCTATAATATCTAATATCTAGTTCTAAGATTTGAATTTCTACAGTTGCCTCAACAATGATTTTATGGAATTTCCCCCCCTAAAACAGGATTTAACTAAGTCTTGTGCATTGTGTTTGGCTTTTGTGTGATTTAATTTCTTTTAATCTGAAACAATCTTCTTACCTCTATTTAAAATTCTTTCCTCATGGACTGACTTTGAGTTCTAGCCAATTTTCTTGCAGAATATCCTACATCTTGATCTGTCTGATGTTTCCTCAGAGTGTCACCTGATGTCTGCTCTATTTTCTGTATTTTCCGTATCCTGGAAGTTTGGTCTAGAAGCTTGTGACACTCAAGCCTTATATTTTTTTGGCAAGGGTCGTTCAAAGACAGTGTGTCATATCAGGAGGCACGTAACTGCCATCCTGCTGGGAGTGCGCCTATGCGTGGTCACTTGGGTAGGACCCTGCAGGACACATTTTGTGAAGGCTAGCTTCTTTTTCCATATCATGCACCCCGCCCACACACACTTCCTGCAAAACCAGGGATTGAACCCAGACTGCGCCACCATCGAGCTACATCCCCAGCCTGCCCCCAGCCTTTGTTTTTAAATTTTGAGGCAGGGTCTTGCTAAGTTGCTGATCCTCCTGCCCCAGCCTCCTGAGTAGCTGGGATTACAGGTGCGCACCACTGCGCTTGGAGACTACCTGCTTTTGCTCCCTAGAGGGTTTTTCGAGGTTCACTTACACTATTGCAAGAGCCCATCGACGGCTCATTTTTGTCTCTGAGGAGGTCATCGTACGGGTGTGCTCTCTGTCTGTCCAGAATGATGGACTTTGGGGGTTGTTTCCACTTTGGGGCTAGAACAAGCTTGCTATGAACTTTCTGGCACAAGTCTTTTCATGGACTTATATTTTCACTTTTCTTGGATGAATATGGCAGAGTGGACTTGCTGGTTCACAGGGTAAATGTGCCAAAAAAGAATTGCCCAAGAGACGGCCCCACTTACACAGCTGCCAGCAGTGTCTGAGACTCTAGTTGCTCAGGCCCTCACCACGTCACTGTTGGCTGTGAAATGTTCCTTCTTATTTCTGTTTGCATTTCTCTTACCATGAGTGACATGGAGTACTTCGTTGTTTATCTGCCTAGGGAATGACTTAGCAGAGACTTTCAAAGACACCCCCCATTTTTCCCGTGTATTATTTTCCTACAGATGTCGCAACAAATTACTACAACTTGGCAGCTTAAAGAACAGAAATTGGGCCAGGCATGGTAGTGCACATCTGTAATCCCAGCGGCTCAGGAGGCTGAGGCAAGAGGATCTCAAATTCAAAGCCAGCCTCAGCAAAAAGCGAGGCGCTAAGCAACTGGGCGAGACCCTGTCTCTAAATAAAATACAAAATAGGGCTGGGACGTGGCTCAGTGTCCCGGTGCCCCTGAGTTCAATCCCTGGTACTCTCCACCCCCCAAAAAAAGAACAGAAATTGGTGGTCTCACAGGTCTGAAGGCTAGAGGTCCAAGATCAACGTGTTTTTCTCTGAAACCTGTAGGGGAGAATCCTCCCTCGACTCCTCCAGCTTCTGCTGTTGGTCAAGAATCCTTAGTGTTCCTTGGCTCGAGGATTTCCCGTTCCCGCCTCTGCCTGTCACCACCTGGCCCTCCTCCTTGTGTGTCCTCATGGCATCCTCCTGGGCCCGTGTTTTGGTCTAAACGTCCTTCTTATAAGGACACCAGTCATTGGATTGGGGCCTCATCCAACTCCTGTGATGTCAACACAACACACCTTTTTTTTTTTTTTGAGGATTCAATTCAACCCATAACTGTCAGTGATAAGGAAATACATTAGTTCGTCTTTTAACTTGAGAATTATGGAGGCCTAATAAGTACATATTATGGAATTTAAAAGCAGGGAGGAAATACTCAGGATGGATGTTTTTCCACAATTTTAGAAGAAACCTTCCCCTGTGGCTCCAGGGAGCCTCTTAGACGTGGACCATGTCTCCTTGTCACCTCTGGGCGTCGTCCACCTGCCTGGAGTTCTTTGGTCTGTTGAGTTCATGTTTAACTCAGTGTCCTGTTTTTCCTGGGACACAGTGGAAACCGTAATCAGTGGCCACAAACCAGGGCGCAGAGGGGCCGGAGGTTGGGAAATGTCCCTGGAGAGGGTCCCATTTCCAACTCTGGTCTCAGGTGCTGGGTTTCTCTGGGCGCTGGTCACTGAGCCCTTGCTTGCATAGAAATATAAATAAACTTTCTAGGGCCGTTCAGAGCAGTTGGATGAATCTCTAGCATTTACAAGGGGAAGACCTTATTCTTAGAGTCATCTAAATAATTTAGTAGAACGAGATTGGAATGGCCACTTCTGTTAAAGTTTTGAAGACAGTTTGTATATTTCTTTAATAGTCCAGATTTTCATGCTATTGCCTTTAAAAAATTATTTTTGTATTGGGGATTGAATCCAAGGGTGCTTAACCCAGCCCATTTTGTATTTTATTTAGAGACAGGCTCTCACTGCATTGCTTTGGGCCTCACTAAATTGCCGAGGCTGGCTTTGGACTTGCTGTCCTCCTGCCTCAGCCTCCCTAGCCACTGGGATTACAGGTATGCACCACACAACTGGAATCAGTTTTAATTTTTAGAAAAACTCCATACAGTTTTTAAAAAATATATATTTTTAGTTGTAGATGGACACAATACCTTTATTTATTTTTATGTAGTGCTGAGGATTGAACCCAGTGCCTCGTGTGTGCTAGGCGAGCGCTCTACCACGGAGCTGCAGCCCCGGCCCTCCGTACAGCTTTCCATGATGACTGTACCAGTTCACATTCCCACCAACAGTGCACAGGGTTCCTTTCCAACACGGCCTCACCTGCTCTTTCATCTTTTTTATAATAAGCCTTCTGAAGGTTGTCAGGTGGTATCTCGTGGTCATTTTGATTTGCATATCCCTGATTTTAATTTGCACGTCCCTGATGATGTGCGGTGTTGAGCATTTTGTATTCCTCCTTTTTGAGAAACGTTAGGTCCTTGGTTCATTTCTTAATATGGTTATTTATCTTCTTGTTATTGGGTTGTTTGAGGTCCTGAAGTTGTATGTTTGCAAGTATTTTCTCCCACTCCACATGGTCACAGTCATTCTGGAAAAGAGTGGAAAAGTGGCTCCTTTGAAAACTCATTTCCCTTCGCAGATATGTGCATGTTCCAGTGGAATTCTTTAAGTTCATAACTGTTAAGGGAACTGGTTTGGAGGACTGGTGTGGGAAGTCCTTTCTGTCTATATGCGCCACCTCTGAGCTTGTTTTTGACTTGACAAGATGCCTGTGTCCTAGCCAGTGCTGCTCAAGGGACCATGTGAAGGGTGGTGCTGGGCAGTGCAAGTTCAAGTTCAGATGAGATAGTGCAAGTGGAAAAGAAAAAAAAAAAAAAAAGCCGTCTCTTTCCAACATAAGAGGAGACGAGAGTCTGCAGACTGAAAATAGAAGTTGCTTTCCTAAGGGAAGTATTTATTTAAGATGCAGCTGAGGAAAGTTAGAAAGCCTTCAAAAGTAGTTGAGGAGGTGGCTTTCTGAATCGAGAAAACGTGTGCATGTCGGGACCATCCTGATTTCTGCATTCAGGAGAATGTGACAAAGCAAGGTGAGCCATGACTTCTAGAGCCTTGGCCCGGAGAATCTGCAGTGGGGCACCTGTAGAA